TGTTCATTTTTATGATATGCATATGATCCTATCTGGATTTTTAGGAATAAATAGTGCCTTTGGTCGCCTAATAATATGACAGGATTGCAGTCCTCTCATAAAACCCTACAATCAATGAAGTTTTGAAATCTTGTGATACAAAAATGTCCAAAGATCGAGGTACGTTTAACACAAACATCCTTTTCAAATGAAATCGTAAACCTGCAACTTTCTGGCTTGGCTGCAAATGCACAACAATCACAAAACCAATCATTGCAATAAGGCTATCATCTAAAGCACCATTGACATAATATACGTAGATGGAAGCTAGATGAATCTTAACAAATATTACAAAGCTCCATACTCCAATACCAAATCCGCAACCATTAGTAGGATCATTTTTCAAAAACAAAAGACATGCAGATCATATAAATATGTGCTTTGCGGAGAATAGTACAAGTCACTTAGCATTGGATGCTTACATAATGGAGGCCGGACAAGTGGTGCAAAACTGGGCCTTTCACACCGTCCATGCCCTTCCCTGGACGAGATCCGTAAGTCACTGAAGGTAATGGTGGAACATCCGAAGACAACTGTGACCTCGGAAGACTTATGCTAGAATGAGATCTTGGTGGAGCGGCAGGATGAGACTATGGAAAAGGGGGTGGAACAGTAATTGAAAGTGCAGGAGAAATCAATGGAGGAAAAGAAGTGTAGGGACCACTTCTAGGACCTGGTGACGGAAGGGGACTAAGATAAAATGGAGCCAAGTCGAGCTCGAGTATTGTTGAGCTCGATTCGACTCGAAAACTCACGAGCCTCAAATTTTTAAGCTCGACTTGAATTCGAAACCACAAATTAAAGCTTGTAAAAGCTCAAAATATAAGGGAAAAAGACCCTTAAACTTAACTCGAGTGGAGCTCAAAACTCAATCTCGAATATGAACATTAAATACATAAAAAATTTATAATGTATTTTTAAAAAAAACAACACAAATGTTATTATTATTATTAATTTATTTTTTAAAATTAATATATTATATTTTCGAGTTGCTCGCGAGCTTTTCGAGTGGAATATCAAGTAGCTCATTTTGGTTCGTTAAGAACTCAAGTCGAGTCCATTCAAATCGAGTATTTATCGAACTTTGACTGAATCGATCTCGAGTAACTCAGATATGTCTCGTCTCATTTACAGCCCTACTTATGGCAAGGTTGGAGATGGTGACTCTTGGGTGATGATGCTGATGGTTGTGTCGGTGAAAAAGTAGGAGGCAGGGAAATTAACGGCCCTGGAGACGGAACGGGTGAAGCAGTGGGAGGGACAACATGAAGTGTACCCTTGAGATAAGATGACAAGCTAGTGCTTTTAACTTCACCAAAGACTGAGTTATTTAGATCAAGATTCTTTGTAGGAGACTCCGTGATGGTTTGAGCCAATCAGATGACATCACCGTAGCCTGAATTATGACCTGGGAGGATATTGTGGACCCTTTTTCGTTTGTTAGTTGCACAAACAAATTCTGCAATTAATAGCGAGAAACACCATATATAGGAACCAAACATCAGGGCATTTGCTCCTCCCTCCAACCCTAGTTTCTGTTCCATTGCAATGAAAAAACTTCATGGTTTTGATCCCTAAAACTGGCGCTAGGATGCAATCACTAATACATGATTTGGCAGTTATACCTATATCCTAGGAGCTAACCCAGAGCTCGAACTTCGTCAACCACCAAAAATGTCGACAGTTAACACAGAACACTAGAGACGCACTGTGTTTCATTATCCTTTATGGAAACTGATTTATTAATATTCAAGAATTCAATTGATTTGAATAATTTGGTAGCCAGAAATTTTCCTATTTCCACTTTCAAACACTATTTGATCAGACCTGAGGTCATGAGAATGGCAGTGCGATGCTACCATAGATCCACCCAAAAACCAGATATTGGTGAAACCGAAATGTGTAAGTTTAACTCAAGACAGATGTCATACCTCATCAGACCTCAGATGCAGTCCATATTTCAGCTGACCTTTTAACTGCATAAAGTTTTCCAGTTTTTCAGCTATGGAATTATTCGGAGTAAAATTAAATAGAATCTGGGTTATTGGCCAGATGAAAGCAGGTTGTACAGGGATTATAGTGATACCGAAATGAAACTTCAAAATCTCAAACTTGGAAGGTTGCCCAAAAATTGAGGTGGTCCAAGTCAGATTAGATTGCTGAAGAAACAGCTCAATTAAAGATGATCTCAGTACACTTTGGGATACTGAGTTTATTGGACCATTCATGGGGTACGAAAGAACACCAAACACCACATCAGTAGAGTTAGATGCACCTGATTGGTGCATGGATAAGATAGCCAGCTGTCGAAGAAGAGTAGATTTTAGATAAACTTCTTACATAATGGACAGTAAACTTCTTACAAATGGCCGAAGTTTGGTGTAAACCTTAGTAGCCAAAAGCTCTGAAACTGGTTTTTGAAGTTTAAAATATGCATGAACTAAGGCTGCAAAAAAAAAAAAAAACGCAAATATATATAACAAACAAGAAAAATTACTTATGGAACTGCATCATTGAACACGAAAGATCAGTTGGTGTGATGGAGACACAACGAATGAGAGGTCATATTTCACAATGAATTTAGACCAAACCAGGAAAAGCTAAATCTAAATAAGGAACTAATATCCATCATCATAGTTTGATAGCTCAGTTGAAGAGTGAAGGGGCAAGCATACAAAAGGCCATTGAGTTCAATAGTGAACTGAATTAAAAAAAAAAAAAACAGGAAAAGGATGTACAACTCATGCAAGTTTAGGAAAGAAAGTCAAATCAAAATTCAAAATAAAATAAATGGTCAGCTAGAATAAATTAGTAGCTTTTAAGAAGAATCTAAATTAAAAAAAAAATACAAGATGAAAGGAAGTGGCCTATCAGATTTATAAAATTAAGGGATATGATTTTTTTTAAATAAATTTAAAACAAATTGAAGTGTACTTCGAAAAATTCATAAACATTAAAGTGTAAAATTAAACGAGAAAGGAAATAAGAAAAGTCTAATTCAAAAAATAAATTCTAGATTAAAGTCGAATGAGGTAAAAAATAATAATTATTAGAAAAATGAATAAACATTTTTAAAAAATAATAATAAATGAAAGCTTAAATCACGTGAATATGAAAAAGGAAACAAAATCTTAAATCTGATTAAATGGAATAAAAAAATCTAAAAGACTAAATTAAAATAAAAACAAAGTTTGGGGAAAATTTTAGAAAGAAATATCTGTGGAGTTAATTAAAAAGGACTTAAATGAATTTTGAAGAAGACTGTGATGGAAATTAGACCCTTCCCATTAAAAACACACGGATTTGAAGCCTCCAAACGGGTCCTCGGGTCAATATAAAGGCTAAATTTCAAAAACAAAGCTCATTTTTCACATCCCCACTCAAATGGATTGAAATCATTTTTTTTTTGTTTTCTCTGAACATGCTCTTCATATGCTGAAGAACATTCAACCGGAGTTCAAAGGGAACCCAGATTTCCGTGGTGCTCCGCCTCGCCGATTGCCGTAGATCGACGTCGACTGTCGTTCATCGACGGTGAAATCAAATAATTTTTAGAGCGTTTAAAAGCTCTTTCTCTCCTCTTTTCAAATATCTCCATGGTTTTCATCGAAGAGCCTCGAGAAAAGTGAGATCTGAAAAAGAAATTCATGGTTCTCTCCTCCGATCCTCGACCCTTCTCCGTCGATGGGTTTTCAAAATCGTACAACAAGAAAGATAGAAGGTTAAACAGTCGTGCATGCAAATGAAGAAGACCAAAGGGAGTAAAAATTTACCTTTTTTTAATTTTGTTTTTTCAAATTTACAAGTTTGGTTGATTCAATCTCCTTTTTTTCTTATTTTCTCAGGGTTTATAGACATAAAGATCTAGTTTTGTTCGTTTTAGAGTTTTATTTTAACTAAAACACTATATTATTTTATGTTTTTCTTGATTTTGAAATCACGTTCCCACTTTTAAGATGCACCGAAGAAACTGAAAGGAAGCTTGGTGAGGTTGGAATGAGGACTCTTCATGAACCTTAAAAATGCTCTTGATCTAGACCGTTAGATTGCACTCTAATCTAACGGACAAGATCGTGCAGCGCTGATGAATAAGATAGAAAACCCTAACTCCCATTGTTTCTTGACATGTGGGCTTCTCCTGTGCTGGGCCTAGTGGGAAATTGTTTGTTGGATCTGATCTTCAATTAACTACAATGGACCTACAAAATAAATAATAATAGCTACATAAATAATACTATATAATAAATGTAATCTAATAAAAGTGGGATACATAACATATTATGATATATAATATATGATATAATCTACATAAATAATATTACGTAATAAGAATAATATTACAATACAATAGTAATAAAAACAATATTAAATAAGAAATATTAATAGAATAATAGTAATACATTAATACTATATAGTATAAATAATAAATTAATTTTAGACGAAAATGTGTCTACATACATGTCTATGTATTCTTTACGATTCTTATCATTTCAAATATGAATTAATCGGTTTCAGTGATTAAATAATTATAGTTGTCTCTTAAAGTTTTGAGTTCGGGTACCACATATATAGAGGTATGGGTGTTAATTGTCAAATAGTTGAAAAATCTTTAAACAAATACAACCTTGTATTTATATCAAGTTTAATATTTAAAAAAAAATTAAAAATATAAATAAAATTAAATATTTTAATATGTGATAGTTTTTTGCATTCAATATTTTAAAAAATAAAATTTAATTAAAAATTAAAAATAATATATACCTAAAATAACAATAAAAAGTAGTTTTTTTTTTCTTTTCTTCAAAAAGAAGTTTTCCGGCCCAGTTCAACAAGTTTTACAGATAACTTGAAAGGCTCAGTATCCGAAAGGGCCCAAACCAACAAATGAATATGGTGCGTACTACGCACCTGGTACATGTTAAACCCTGAATCATGCTCCCGTTCATTTTATTATCACTTCTTCCGCCGGGAAAAAAGGTTCAGAAGCTTGGAATTTTCTGCACCTATCCCAAAGGTACTCTCATTTTCTTTACCATCGACGCCTGGTAAAATATATATTATTTGATTTGATGGGGATCTATTTTTCCTTTTTAAATTCTTTTTATCGACAACCATGGATTTTTTCTTGATCTGTAGATCTAGGGTTTCGCGTTTAGTAGATTTCGTTTTCCCTCTTTTCTTTTGTTCTAAATGAGAAATTTTATCTCTTTTGTTTTTCATTTTTAATATTTGTTCATCTGTTTAGTTTTCTGCAAATTTACTGACTTCCAGCTTTATGTTTTTGACTTTGTAATTTATTTGTTAGGTAATCTCCGAAGTTCGTCCCTGTTAAGTTGTTCATTTCATTTGCAATGTAAGTTATTATTTGCGCCTCCTGTGTTTTACTTGTCAAATATGTATGCTTGCGAGGGGAGTTTGATGATATATTTTGTTTTTGGTTTTTTTGTTAGACGATTTCTCTCTATTGGTTTCTTGATCTGTACATGAAGCTTGTATGGGATAAGTTTGTGATTGAAGTATGTTGTTGGGTATTGGGGTTGTTTGTATTGATCAACGTTGGACACTGCAACAGATTGTGCAATCTTAATGATTTTGGATTTTCTGATGAAATGTTTTTCGTATGGTATGGAATTGGAATTCAATAAGCATTTTTGTTTTTCTCTAATCTAATCAACTAGATAAGTAGTGGGTGGGAGGGAATAGGATAAGGAGTTCTCCGGGTAAAACTGGGAAAAGAAATTACTTACAGTGTTTAAACATTTGTATTCTTAGCTGTAGCCACCAAGGTCAATTATCCGGAAATTGCAGATATATTTTGAAAATAGTAGTTGCTTATAATTCTTTCAATGCTTCTCTTGGTTGTGTAGTTCATAGTTGCTTCCTAATTTCATTTTTTTTAATCCTTAAAAAAATTATGTTATTTTCCTAAAATTTGTGACTCCTTTCAATGCCATGCCCATATCTAAGTTATTTATCATTTAAAAATATTTTTTAGGGCCGATGAGGAACCTGTTGATCAGAAGAAGTATCTTGAAGAGGGTTGCAAACCTAAATGCGTGAAACAGCTTCGTTCTTATGAGGTTTGTTATATAAATTAGTTGTTTTGCAAACTGAGCAAGGTTTATTGAATCCTTTTTACCATTCTTTCAATTGTGAGTTTGATAATTGCTGACTGACTGGCACTAGTATTAATTCATGTGTGTTGTTTTGTACAACCCCCCCCCCCCCCAAAAAAAATTCTACCCTATTTGCTTTTTTAACCCTGGACTTCATTTCTGCAGGCTTCTATGTTTTTTGCTTGATGTATCAGTTTGGGAGAATCCTATAAACAGGCATATTTACTCCGTTTTTTCCTTATATTTTAATCTGCCTTCTTACATTTTTCATATGTTTTCTGCTTTGGCGGAACAAAAGAAAATTTGATGATTCTCTGCAGTTTCGATTTCACGCTCTTTCCTTTTTGAAACCCCATTTTAACCTCAAGAAAAGCTTGAAGCCAGAACTAGTTATTAGGATATATATATATATATATATATATATATAGTCTTTGGAAAATGCGAGTTGTTTTCTTCTTTTGAGGCTGATCCAACTTGATATCTACGAGAAAAAATCATGATAGGCAAAATCTGGCATGCATTGCCTAATGAAAATAATAGGTCTTACTAACAGACACATAGGGTTTGCCGGTGTTTGAGTAGTGAACCTGATTTATCTTTTCTTTATGAAACTTAATAACTGTTTGCAAATGCTCAAATTTATAATTAGACTTGGTGTCCCATGAGCATTCTGTTTTCTTGCCTTAAAGATTTGGTATTCTTAGAACAATCTCCTGTTACTCTCTGAATCTGGCGACAACTTATACAAGTTACTGGCTTCAGGCATGTATTAAGAGAATTGACTGTGACGAAAGTGGTCACAAGCATTGCACTGGTCAATATTTTGACTACTGGTCCTGTGTCGATAAATGTGTAAGTACTTCTTTACCTTACTTTCATTCTTCATTTAGTGTGCTTTGTCCTGATACCAGGTTTTGGAATGCAGGTTGCACAGACACTGTTCTCGAAACTGAAATAATTGGGGCCCAATTCTGTTAAACATTAGCATCATGTCCTGCTGTTTTGAGTTCAAAAGCCAGTTGATTGTTTCCTAAACTATTGATATCCTTGTATAATTTTGTGTGGTGTATATGAGAACTGGTAACATTTTTTTGTAATGTTACTGTGAAAACTTTTGATCATTTACAATAAATTTGGTTCCTGTTAGACATGCATGTTGACACAGGGTTGGAACTTGGAAATGCAATAACTGAACATTTACCAGTCATATGAGTATTCTTCTTATCGCAGTCTATGATTCATGTATCTCATTCCTACTATTTACTAATTAGATTTACATAATTGTTTTGTTAATGTGTGGAGATAAATCAAAATGTTCCTAAAGAAAACTGCTACACTCATCAACTTGCACCAGAATCCAAAATACCAACCATCCCTGGCATGATCAGGGAACTGATCCTGGTATCACAATGGGGCACTTCTACCAAACTAACTTCCTAGATTCAGAAGAGAAGCTTGTTCGAGTGATATTTTGATTGTTTTGCTTTGGGATGATTTGTATACGTACATGCATTCCTCGAGGTCAGCATCACATGCCAAAAGAACCCACTCGTCGTCGTCATCCAAGTACTTGAGATTGATTCTGCTTACATCTTTGATACTGAAACGACTAGCAATTTCTTGTTGCAGATCCCCGAAACCCCAATTCGGTTTCAAGCTAAACCGTATCTTATCTTCTCTAAACATAGCTTTTACTTTTATGGCACCCCTGATTCGAAAATTCCAGCCACCACTTCTTGGCAAGGGAGGCAAAGTCTCGACAGTAGGCAGCTCACCGAATGTTTTATGGCTTTGGGATCTTTCAAGAAGCTTAGGCTCCTCCTGATTCATGGCATGCAATTCAGCACCACTGAGAGCCCTCTTTAGTGCTCCACCGTGGTTTTCCAACGCCAACCCATCTGCACTACACAAGGCATTGAGACCAGTATTAAGCTGTTTCATGCTTGTGTGACAACAGGTAGTTGAACCAGAGCTCTGACTGCATGAAGTTGGAGATTTTGGAGCAGCAGCTCCTTGACCGAACATGCCACTCTCGGGTTGAGGTTCTGATGGCTTTGATTGGCTACTGATTTTTGATGATGAAGGACCCTTGCTGGAAAAGTTTGGCGAGCTCAGTTCGGGGAAGCTCGAGTAGAATGATCCAATTTGAATGGAACCCTCAGCACCTTGGACCGAATCTATTACGAGCTGAAGTTTTCTTAAGGAGTGGCCTACCTTCTTTATTTTTCGAGATGGCCATCGAGTGATCCCATGTTGCCTGCATATCCTTTTGAGTGTAGTAGGGCACACTGCAATAAAATAAACTGGGTAAGTGTGATCTGGGTAGTTTTATACATGTATAGTAAGACAAATAGATGGAAATGACACTGCATGGATGGCAATGATGTTTATACTATCACTACAAAATGAGGCATGGTGACACAAATATGTCAGAGATTAAAATTTTAGTGGAGAAAACCGGGCAGAAAAGGTTAAATATTAGTCCTGGGATTTTACCCTAAGAGAATCCCGGGAGTGCCTAGGAGAGGGAGAACACAATCCTTATCTCGTTTGGCTTACCGTCATGCAGTGACAGGTTGGTGCTTCTGGGGATCAAACGTGTGTCCTTTAGGATATTTTTGGTGATCCCACACCAACTCGGGATGATCCACAACTGTAAGCCAAATGATTTAAGGATCGGGTTCTCCCTCTTCAAGGCGTTCCGGACTCTCTTAGTGGTCGGGAGTCAAAATCATAGGGGCTAGAAAGGCACACAAACATTCTGAGATAATAATACATTTTCTGTTGTTGAGGAATCCCCGCGAAATAATCGGAAGATCCCTCACCAAACAATAATTACTCTGATGAATTTTATATTGTTTAGTTGAACATAAAAGTGAAATTACTCGTAATTATAGTGGAATAATTTCCCTACCACCAATACTCTTAGCAGCATCTTTGAGACTCCCTGCAAAATACTGCCGAAGAACCTGCAAGCTGATTGTCTTCTCCATTTTGGTCCGTTTCTTCTCGCCTGCCTTTTTAGGGGCTAAAATGTGACGTCCACCGGATGAGGAGGTATCACCGCCACCTCCCTCAAAACTACCTGTGCTTCCAGCATTTTGATGGAGCCCAAAATCTGAAAGTAGATGCTCATTATATAACTCTTTCCTGACGTCTTCCGAACTGGTTGTCACTTTGAACTCTTCTTTTGGTTCTTTTTGATATTCACATGAGACGTTAACACCTTTACCCTTCTGCAAGGCCTCCATCATGTGGGCGATCCACGATGACTCCTCCGGTGAGTTATCCTTTGGAGAAGAAATTGTAGGTTTATTTTCTTCTTTGTCTGATCTCCCATCGGAAGCAACTGCCATTTCCTTAGCCGGCAGTATCACTTCCTCCTCCATCTCCTTGTCCATAGCAACATGCAAACTCTGGCAAGCCAGTTGCACAAAACCGAACAGTGAGTTCAGCATATGCTGCTGTGCTTCACTTTCATGGCAATCCTTGGGCAAGAATAACTCCAAAACAAATTCAACCGATCCAGTAAAAATGCTTTGTAGCGGAATAGCTAACGCACCACACAGTCCGAACATCCTAGCGTGGTGTGAGAGGGGATAGTTTGTCTTACTGAAGGCAGTTATATCAGTTGCAAAGCATTGTTTGTTCGATGTGAATGCTCTGCCAACTATTCCTTGTCCTCTAAACAGGTGGTGCTCGGAGCACTCCTCGAGGAAGCCCAAGAATTCGTCATCAGCCACGATGCAAGCAGTATCCAGGGTGGAAACACAGAGATAATAATTCTCGTCTGAATGCCGGCATCCGCTTTTACCTTGATTGAAGCATGGGGCCCATGTGAGAGCCAAAGGCAGTTTATAAATCTTGCAGACAGATCTTAGGACCTCAGCTATCTCAGGCAATGCAACTTGATACAACTCATTGCAAGTCAGTGCATATTGAGGACTGAAGTTGTGTGAGCTCCTTAGATCAACAGCCTGCACATCGATACACGTTGTTTAGACCGCAATTCCATGACGAAGATGCTACTATAGTTCCCATCTAAGACATGACTAATGCATATAAACAAATACAAACACATCTACTGCAGGAAGCAACATAGCAAAATAACTAGAAGCAGAAAAACTAGAGACCTCAAGAGCTTTGCAGATGTATTCGAGTTCGGGTCGATAATTGATCTTTTGAGCAGTTGTGACAATCTCAACAACAGCCAAGCAATGTCCACTAGCTCGTTCGAAAACCGGAAGTGCGAGAGATCCACCAACATTGTACTCGAGTGCGAAGCTAATACGAGGATACTCATCACTTCTGAAGAAACGAACATCAGGCGTCCACTCGGGCAACTTCCCCAAAAACACACGGCCAGGCAACCCAACAGCTTCCTTTGAGTCCTCCTCAGCAGGGAAGTTGTAGGAAATGGAGACATCTCTAAAAATTCTGAGACTCTTGCAGTTTGTATTAACAGAGTAGGGTTGGCCTTTGGTAGTAAGAACATTCTTGCCTTCCCTTTTAACAGGTACCCATATTTGAATAAGAACATCCCTATCTTTTGTAGATTCCTTCCAATATGTTATAGCTTGCATTAGCCTGAGTTTCATAGGTAAAGAAGGACATGATCCTTCAACAATAAAGCTTCCATCTTGTGATGAAGATGAAGCAGCAGCAGCAGGGGATTGGTTTTTAGAAAGATTGTCAGTATAAGGAGAGGGAGAAAACTGTTCTAACCAGCATCCTTCAAACAAGAGTTGATCCATAAAATCCAAGTTCATAGCAGCACCACAGAAGTTCCCAAAGGTAGAGCCTTCCATGTCTACAAGGCTTGAGATTTGAGTTCAAGCAGAGCCTATATTACGTCCCAATTGCAAACAATATCATGGACCAAAACAAAATTAAAAAACAAAAAGTCTAGAGGCTTTGTTGTATGTGTGCAAATTCTAAGCCTCACTGTTAACATAAAGCTCAAAGAAAGAGAACCTGGGAAGAAGAAGCAAGCGAGTCACTTTACAAAGAGTCTTTGAGGGGGGGGGGGGAAAGAGAACCTTTTCGGAACTTTGGGTTTCTGTATAGTATAGAATTGGAGTGAAGCAATCTAAATATATCAAATGTGTGGCTCTTCTTGATGAATATACCCTTTTACACAAGACCTCAACCACATAAAAGGAGAAATATATTGCAAAGCAACTTGTATCTCAGATATTTTTGTTGTCCATATACATTATATTATTTAAGTTAATAATTTTATTTACGATTGCAATTTTTAAGTAGATTTGTGAGACCAAAATTGAATGATTTTAAATATAATGTTAAAATAAATATATATTGATTAAAAAGAGAAAAATATTTAAGTATATTCCAAGTGCAATTTAATCAAAAATCAAAGGAGATTTGTCATCTCATTCACCAGGTAACGAGTATTGTTCAATAGATATACTGTAAACTGACTCATGTTTGCTTTCAAAGATTGAATTGTCTACTTTTAAAAGAAATTACAGTAATATTTGGTAATTCAACAAAGAAAAACACAGCTTCGGCATTCATGGATTTTACTTGTCTTGCACGGCTGAATTTGGGTTTTGATTCTTGTTTTACAATGGCTAAGTGTTGATTTTTTATACTTGACGTTTTGAGTAATATTTTACTTATTTTCCAATGGTTAAGTGTTGACTTTCTTTATTTTCCCACATTTAGTCAACTAATATATTTCTTTCAAAATGAAACTAAATATAAAGGATTAAGGGTGCGTTTGGTTCACGGAATGTAAGATTATCAGTGTGAATAAAAGATTACCAGGGAATAGGATTACTGGGAATGTTGTATTTTGTGTTTGGTTGGTTTAGCAGGAATGTAAGATTACCGTGTTTGGTTAAAGGAATAAAAGATTATTAGAATGTATATTTGACCAAATTGTCCTTATTATATATTTGTATAATATTACAAATTGTAAAATATTTATATATTTTCTTTAAAAAATTAAATTCATAATATTTATATAATTTTTTACAAAATTAAAAATATAAAAAAGGTTTAATGAAATGGTAAATCTTTTTTAACCCCTGAACTTCATATAAAATTTTAATTATAGATTTTTTTTTGTAAATCTAAAATAATTTAAGGATAAATTTGTAATTTAACCTTCGTAGAATTTTTATTATTCAATGACATAAGAAGGATATTTTTGGAAAAAAAATAAAAATTTAAGGGCATTTTAGTCCAAAACGTCGATAATGTTACAATACCTAAGGGAAGGGAGGTAATGACATTCCCGATAATATACCCCAAAAAATCTACTATTGGTAATAAAACATTACCGGGAATGAGATTCCCGGCCAACCAAACATGGTAATCCCACAATCATTGAACCAAACACCCCCTAAAGAAGAAGAAGAATACGCTAGAGCTTTTGGTTTTTTCATGTTGTCAAAGAGTTGAACAATGGATTTTTCGTGTTGTCAAAGAGTTGAACAATGAAAATAGATGGCGAGAGTTAACGGTTGAGAGACTAAAATCGAATGGATTGATAACGTAAGAGATTAAAACCATTTTTTTAACCGATGATCAAGATTGGACATATCGATAATGTAAAGAATAAGATATGTGGCTTTGTTTTATTTTTTTTAATTGCCAACTCAGATTTCCGTTAATGGGTTAACGAGAGTTAACGGTCATGAGACTAAAATCGAATAGACCGATAACGTAAGGGACCAAAATCACTTTTTTTTTAATCGGTGATCAAAATTAGACGACTGAAAACATTGGGGACAACTTGTAAATAAATTATGTATTGATTTTTAAATAAAGGAACTTCACTTTTGTAATTTTATGTTTTTCATATATTGTGTAATATGATTTAAAATTTTCAAGTAAATTATATTTTATGATATCGTGAATTGTAGGATCACTTCGATGTTCGATGATTCAATGTGACATTTGCGAATCCGACGATGTATAAAAGTTAGGTTTAAGGGATTACACTACCAATTATGCAACATATACTTATCATACATTCTTTTAAACATACCAAAATATTTTCTTAACCATATTCTACCACTCTTACCATATCATAAGTATGATTCATATCATAGAAACTCATACCACATCTCAAAATCATCATCACAATGAATTATAGCATACTAAAATTTCACTAATTTTCACACACATATATCAGGTATAAATAAAAAGGAAAAAGCAAGATAAAAACTACGTTCGCATCGTAGATTAGGGAAATACGATCCATAAACGATTATAAAGTAATATTTATTTCGAATGATTTGTTGCTCGAGTTCATGACCATAAGAGAGAATTATACTCCTTTTAATCACTAAGGTGGTTTAATGATTTAAAACATATTCATATCCTTTTATTTGTGTGTGATTAATTGCAAAGACATTAATAGGCAGATAGATAGAGTTTGAGGTGTGGCATGGGTTTCATTAATTATAAAGCACCAAGATGCAGAAAAAGGTAGTAACAATTTAGAATAGGATTTGCGTGAGGCATTGGGAATTAAAAAGTCAACTCCATATAAGATGGTGTTGGCCAAAGGAATCAAAGCAGATACTGAAAGGGATTCATGGAGGATATCCCTCTACACTTTTTTATATATATTTTTAATACAGAAGATTCCTAAGGGAAATTTAATTTAATTACTAATTTATCCGTGTTCAACTCTTGATGGTGATGAAAAGCTACTATCCGATGTGGGTTTGAGTTGGACATGCTTTTGCAATTGTTAAGGATAACATAACACTGGTTTCTTTCCGGATCATAAATCTTTCAAGTGCGCAACACATCATATCTCTGATAAGATATACATTTTGTTGTAGTGAAAGTCCCAGGACTAAAAAAAAGATTTTAAATATTTTGTATCTAAATTGTAACTCTTTGAAATAACTTTTAACATGGTCACATGATCTGACATAACTTAAATCAATTGACAACTGATCATACTAATTAGACCTATTAGTTTACGGATTACAATCATGATTTTATGCTTGACACCGACAATGAGAGTTATTATAAAACTTTTCATTCAAGACTAAAAGAGAGATCATACCCATTCACCTTCATCTTTTTTTTTCTTCGTGAAAGAAGAAGACTTTGATACCAACCAATAACCGTTTAATATCGATTGCAACTCATCATTTAAATTGGAAGGGATCCATCCTAATCGCCTCAATCATTTTTGTTACGTTAATAAAAACTGATTAAGTGAAAGAGTGAACGTATTTGGATTAACTTAAAAATGGCTATTGGAATGAAATAAAGGGCAGATGAGATACCTAACATTTTGATATCAAGATCACATACAATACTGATTGGATGGAGGGTTCAAATTTATTTACAAAGGTGGAATCCGACAAAAATCATTGACTTCAACCTAACCACGACTGGACATATATATATATATATATAACAATATGGTCAGTTTTAATAACACAAAACCCATCTTATTTTGTTATTAAAAACATATTGTGGATGGAATGGAGAGAGGTGGTGGATCAGTGACGAAATCTCTCTATAATAAATTAAAAAGTACAGAAGAATAGTAAAGCTCGATATTTTTGTCACCTACTTGCTATTATTAAAAGCCCGACCTTTCTCTTGGTTTAATTGAATATTTACAGTTTTGCATGAAAGTGGGTGCTGCCATCACCAAGCAGTGTATATATAAAGGAGAAAAAGTGCAAAGCATTTCTGTAAAGTTAAAAAGAACCGCTCATATTAGAGTTAAACATTTGGCTTTAATTATGTAATTAAAGTGGACGTGGGCAATTCCCACTTTAATAAAATCTTGTGAACAATGACTCCAATATGAATTTACACATAATTTTGATTCCAGTTCTCTTCTGTCATAATAAAATTGTCTGCCGGTTACCCTTCACTGAAATTCTGATTAACAAGGGTGTACTTTTATGAAATTTTCTAAATATTAAACTAGAAATGTGGTCCTCATAGTCTTTGATATTAAACTCGTTTTGGACAGATGATATATAAGACGGGGGATTCTAAATCAATTAAATAGAATTTTGCAGCAAATGTCACTTTGTCTTAAAGTCGATTTGCCGCATACAAACCACTGTGCTTCTACATGAAGGATAAAAGAGGGGACCATTTCCCCACATATTCTAATCATGGAACCCATCAAGTTACCCACTTACTAGGACTGTTGAGGTTAAATTGGATTATGGTGGTATGTTTATCTTTTTTTATTTAGAGGAAGGGTTACAATTAATTATTCGATAGAGAAAAAAGAGAGTAGATAGATGAAAGACGATGATGAATAATTGTCGAGAGAGAACTTGGAAGAGAAAAAAATTAACCTTGAATAATGATTTATATATTGTCCCTTAATGTTAGTGTCAGACTTAGGATAATGACAACTATCTGCAAGTTAACAAGCTAAATAGATTTAATTATCAGATAATAGATTGCATATGGTCGCTATAACTATTTGAAAATACGGAATTCTAGAAATTCCCAAGTATTTGACAGGCAAGGACCCGTGGTTGAACTCAGTTGAGAGCTTGATAGAGTCAATGATATTCATTGAGATTCCTGCAGAAAAGAAATCACATTTGGATGCATTGAGCTTAAGTCCAGAAATATCATAGAAAAAATCTAGAACATAAACTCCCATAAATAATACATTTAATCATCAAACTAAAGGGCAATTTTACCTTAAAATCACCTAAATACATATTATTTACTTGTCAAGCACCGTTTCTTCAAATATTATCGATTTAGCACCATTTGACAGTAAAGCGCGGTTGACCAAACGAGCCTCGCACACGTGGATGGAAGGCGCGGATCACTAAGTGCGCCTTCCGTCCGATCTGGTGCCACGAGGTAAAGCGTGTATCCTCAAGCGCACATTCGATGGGATTTTGACCTTCCATAAATATCTCATTTAATATCGACCAACCGTCCCTCTACTCTTTAAGTAAGTTCTGTTATCGTTTTTATAAGGTAAAACTTTTAT